GTATTTTTATGCGTTTTGTGCTGTGTAACAGCAGTACAAAACGCATATTGTCACAGGGTTGTCTGTCTATGTGTATTTGTCCAATGCATCTCGTTCTCAACTTCCAACTCGAGAACCACAAAAATTAGGAGGCTGAAATTTTTTGGGAATGTTCCTTGCCCACGTTTGACCCCGCAAATTTTATTTCAGCCTTTCCTTGCCATCGGGTACCAAGCACGAGAAAAATTATTTCGGGAGCCACAAAAGCTAGAAGGCTGAAATTTTACGGTCATGTCCCCTGCCCACATGCAGCCACTCGCAAATTTGAATTTAGCTTTCTGCACGCTCGGTATCACATACGGCTCCGTGAGATTTTTGGCAGGGAAATTATTATCTCGGGAACTGTAAAAGCCAGGAAGTTGATATTTTGCAGTACTATCCCCTGCCTACATACAACCACTCGCAAATTTGAATTTATTTTTCCACGCCCTTGATATCACATGCGGCTCCGAGAAATATTTGGTAGGAAAATTATTTTCTCAGGAATTATAAAAGCTGGGGAGCTGAAATTTTGAGGTGGTGATCCCTGTTCACATGTGATCTCACAAGTTTAAATTTAGCCTTCCCGCTTACTCGGGTATCACGTGCGGTCCAGTGAACGTTTTGACGGGGGATTATCTCGCGAATCGCAAAAGCTAGGGAGTCGAAATTTTACGGTAATGTCTCCTGCCCAAGTACAATTCTGGAATCTCAAATCCACCTTCCCTCTAGGTCTGGGTACCACATATGGCCCTGTGAAAGTTTTGGGAGGAAAAGTTATCTTGGGTGCCACGAAAGCTGGAAAGCTGAAATTTTAGGGTATTTTTTCCTGTCCACGTGTGACCCTGCAAATTCAAACTGGGTTTCGTGTACACGTGGGCCTTAACGTTCCGTAAATGTTTTGCCAGGAAAAATTGTTGCTTGGAAGCCAGAGGAGTTAAAAGGCTGAGAATTTCCGGAGTATGTTTTCTGCCTACGTAGGGCCCACACAAACTAAGTTACAGTTTCCGAGTTTGCCAAGGTCTCGCGCACGACTACATGAAATTTTTGTCACAAAAATCACTCGAAAATCGGAAAATCAGGAGGTTGAGATTTTGAAAGGATATTTACTCTTTACAGGTTTAAAATTTAGCTTTCACATATCGGTGCGTGATATTTTTGTTCGAAAATTCCCCAACTTCAGAATCGGAGAACATTTCAACTATTTTTGCACTGACCGAAGTGCAAAGCAGTGAAAATCCTAAGCAGGCAAACTTTCGCTGGGCGAAACTGCGCAAAACGCATGATCGCTCCGGCTGCGCTGGTGCACACCGCTATCTATTTATTTCTGAGTCCATTCTGGCTTATGTAAGCCAAACATGTGGCGAATTTGAGAAAGTACTCGCACTGGTTTCCTGCATGAAAGTTGACGAGAGCTAACTTTGAAATTAGTGTGTATGATATCAAATTGGCCTATGGGTTAGCGTAGTTGATCCGACAGTTAATAGATTTTCCTTCGCATGTTTTTTGCGAGATTTAGCGCCTTTCTCTATATGCGAAATACTGCAATATTATGAATGTCCCTTAGCATTTCTTCACTTTTGTAGCAAAGGATGTCGATCTTTTGGTGATGGAAGTTATGTTGTACCACTGGGTTCTTTAGTTACATCACTTTCTAATGTTTTCAGTGCTTGGCAAAGCACTTCATTTTTCCGGAATCGCTGGCTGATTTCAGAAGCAGTCGATGAAGGATTTGTTGAATGTGAGTGATGACATTCGCATCTCAGGCAGCGCAGAGATTGACGAAGTGGGTGAGCCATCGCTGGTCATACTTGATACCGGTATTGCCATTGAGGAAACAGCGCAAAATTTGGAAAACTTACGACTTCTGTTTCGAGCTGTTGTGGACAGGAAGGTCTGTTGCCATTGATGATCTTCTCGTGATCTTTTGCAGAACATTCACATGTCATCAGTTGAACAACGGCGGGACTTAAGCAAATATACCGAGGAAACCTCCCAAATTTACGCCATCACTTACTCATTAGTATTGACCGCGTGCCGTATTTAGTGTATTTGCTATCACATTTGTACAACATCTTAATGCAGTTAACACATGCCCGAATGAAATGATTCTCGACGTAAACCCGAAAGGCGAGCAGCATGCTACAAAAAGCGATTTCCACTGCCAGCTACATTTTCACAAACAGTGCAGTAGTAGGAAGGTACAGAGGATGCAATACAAAGTTCCTTTATTTTGTTTTCGTCGACTTTCGACTCGTTTACGATCTGCTGCAGGCTCACTCATGCTAAAGAACTGACCTGGTTTACATCGAATCATCAAACACTCACCGCTTCATATACAAAACTACCCTTTTCGTTAGTCCCATTAAAATTAGAATCAGCAGAAGTGTGAAGCAGGACAACATTTGTTCTCCCAAATCCCTTAATAACACGCTCGAAGCGTTTTGTGAATTATGTCGACGATGAAATAGCGCAGATACTCATTTTACAAACGGCACTGTGCTGATTGGGGGAAACTAGCAAGCGTTGCAGAATTTGCTAATTGATGTTACGCTGACTACGAAAGAAGTTGAATTCTAAATCCGAGGAGGAAGAAAACCATATGTTTGAAAAACTCTTATTGTCTCCAGTCCGACGTAAGATTCGTAATCATTTCGATGGGCTCTTGGACATCTGCAGCTGCTTGGAACAAACGATGCAAATCAATAGCAAGCTGAATTTGGAGCTAGATAGGTGAAAAAGAGCAGGATGGACAGCTTCTCTGGAAAATTCCCAACTCTAATTTAGCACTGGCTATGAAATCGATAACTTTTCAGTTTCACTGCCTTACCAGTTCTCCTGTGTGAATGTGAAGCGCCGAATACTGCTTTTGCTACGAAGAGAAATTAGTAGTGGTGCAGTCTGCGGTTTTGCACATAAGAAGTGTCTAATGCAGCATATTTTAAATGAATTATTGTGATATCAGCCTGGTATGAATGACACTGCCAGAGCAGTACTGGGAAGAAAATTCGTTTTAGTTTGGCGGCAGGACAACAAATGGATAAAGCTGATTTTCGATTGGTACCCAAGCAGTATCAAAAGAACGCAAAAAAGGCCGGCGGTGCAGTAGAAAGATCCGTTCAAGCGACTGTATGAAATAATATAGATGAAAAAATGTGCAAAATAAAAGAAGAGAGAAGATGGCAGCTGCATCATTGGCGGAAAACGCAGTGATGAAACAACAACGGATCAAAATAGAACGATTGTTAGGCCCTTCTTACTTCGTGCTTTGAGTTCTGGCTGGCTGCAACTTGACAAAGAAATACGAATAAGATTTGATCACAGCTGTTCTGTTTGAAAATTCAACCTTACATCGATACGTATTGGATGGGAAAATGAAAACAACGAAAAATTGTTGCAGGGCCGTGATGTTGGTGAACTGCTACTCACACATTCTCCGAAGCAGAACTGTAAAGATCCAGATCGGTTTTGTGAGGAAGTGGACCGAATTGTTCAGATTGCACGCTCCAAAAGCAGCTTACGAAAAGTAAGTTGATACTTACGCAAATCGCATCATTCCAGCAGCGTTTTGCATTTAGTGAAAAAACATAAAGTGCGGAAAATTTTGACATTTTTCTTGGATAATGATAATTTCTTCTGACGAAATATCACTTTGCAGCTGAATATATCGGAAATGCTAAACGAGCTGTTTTCAATTGTGCGACGCCATGAAGTCTCACTCGATCCCTCTTTCACCACAGTCATTTTGGCAGTGATGGTTTTGGAAGGTTTGGGTCGTTCTCTTGATCCTGATCTAGATCTGTTTCATTGCGCTCGGCCATTTTTATATTCCATGATTTAGCGGCTGCTGGAAAAAATGACAAAAGCGACTCTTACTGCTAAGCATGCACAAGTACCGCCTACATCTCCATTTCAAATGCAAATTTCCTGTAGAAGCAGTTAGAAGTCACTGCTTTATTTGATCATCAGCAGCGTAGTCTTTCATTCGTCACTCTTGCTCAGTTTGCACTTGTATTTTTTCCTCACTGTTTAGGTTTTTTGCGGCCAGCCATGCAGCATGTTTTTCTGTTTGAAGTTTGTAGATTTTACATCATCTGTAATGACTTAAATCGTGTATGGATATGAAAACAATGCATATACGTATAGTTGGCTGAAACAGTGCATGTCTCACCAACCATACGTATGGGGTCATTTTACCTTCAGTAGAAGAAAAAGCGGCTAAGAGCAAAAGTGAGTGCCTTTTATATCTTTTTTTTAAAACCATACCTATTAGAAATTATTGTAGCGGCAAAGGGGAAATTCCCTTTCAACACCTCGATTTTGGGGACGATACCAATTCGGAG